CTGAGATCATGCCACTGCACTCTGGCTAGGGTGACAGAGCAAGACAAGATGTTATCTTTAGTTTCTATAGGGAATAAAATATCTCCTGACTCTAACTTCCTTCATTATTGTTTTAAACTACTATTACCCTTTTGTTCATCAAGTTGTTCATCTACTTCTATGGGCTAGCTTGGTGCCTCCTGGAATTTCCCTTGAAGGAACTCCAGATTTTTCTTTTTCTTTCTTTCTTTTTTTTTCTTTTGAGATGGAGTCTTACTCTGTCCCCCAGGCTGGAGTACAGTGGTGCAATCTTGGCTCACAGCAACCTCCACCTCCTGGGTTCAAGCAATAATTCTCCTGCCTCAGCCTCCTGAGTAGCTGGGATTACAGGAAGAAATTTAAAACAAAGAATGGGTGGTTGGAGTTCATTTCTCTGTGTATAGTCCTCTATAAAAAAAAATACATTTCTCTTTATTTTCATGCTTGGGGAGGAGGGTGAACAGCAGGTCCCTAAGAAGGGTCCTTGCTCAGTCTCACCTGCAGCCTGTCTTGGCAGTCCTGTCTCGTACGAATTCGTACAAGAGGAGACCCCTGTCTACTGGTGAGGACTGGAGGTAGGCTGCTGGATGTAGGCTGAAGACAGAGGACTTTACTGTACACGGTCAAAGATCTTACTGGCCTTCTGTTTACTCCCTGGTTTCTTGGCTTGGGCCTGGAATATGGGTAGGTGGGCTTTAAACTCCCTTGCCTTCTTCCTCTGTCTTTTTTCTCTCAAGACCAGCCCTGTTTCTGGTGTTTGTCACAGTGTTTCCATTTGAAGGCTTCCGTGGGTTAAAGATCCATCTAACCTCCAAAATCGCTGAGAAGGTCCAAATGCTTAGGTTAGCCTTATTAGATCCTTAGTTCCTAACATCTTTGGGGCAGGACGTCTTTGATGAGTCTTTGCATACAATTCACTGGAAAGCGCTTCTAGAGTTTCTTAAGCACCTTGGTGGATTAAGACAGTGCCTTAGGTATGATTCAGATCCAGGTGGCCTTGGAGTAGGGACACCCTGCCTGACCTGGGAGCTGCTGGCATGCTCTGCAGACCCAGAAGTCTGGCTATGACAGGGATTTCCATGGCCTTCCTTTTCTTGGAGTCTTATACAGTTCTAATTGGATAATTTAGAGCAAGATCAAAAGGCCTCTTTCAGCAATTTTAAGATACACTTGGGTTTCTTATCAAGCAAAGAGGATAGAGGAGAGTTCTTTATACAAAAATTCTATATCACTGTTTAACCCAGAGAAAGAGATGAGCAGATTTCATATCTATGAGGGGAAGTGTAAGCAGTAGATGCTAAGAGTATATTCTATGTATGCTTAATTCAGGACATACAATAAGAATTTCGTGAGTTCCATCACATGTACTGTGAGATGGGGGTAAAGCATGATGATTATGAAACGGGTCTTTCCCATCAAAGACCATACCAGCCTGCATAAAGTAGAGGATGGACAAATTAACAACCCACAAACTCCCACCTGCCAGATGCCTAAAGTATATGGCACATATTTGGATTTTTAAAAAAAATGTGGTAGAGGGATGACTTGACTTGCCCTATAGAGTCACTTTATGCTGACCAGTGGAATTTTGAAGAACGCTCCCAAAGGCAATGGATTTTTGTTTTGTCTTAGTTAATGTTAAGCCTTTATTCCTGGCTGCTGTTAGGTTCAGTCATCTCTTCAGGCTACTCCCCATGGTTGATAATAAAACCATTATGGGAATAGGGCAGTCATCCAAAGCCTAGGGCTTACTGAAAGCTCTGGCAGGGAAAATGGTAGCTTGGGATGAGGGAACAGAAAGGGACGGCTAAGCTTTGAGGTTCTAACACTTATTTCTTCCTTCTGAATTGAATCGGGGATATATATTTACACACATGCACACATACACATATATTCATGCATTATATATCTATGTATGTATCAAGTTCCTTTTTTTTTTCTTGAGACAGAGTCTCAATCTGTTGCCTAGTTTGGAGTATGGTGGCTTGATCTCAACTCACTGCAATCTCCTACTCCCGGGTTCAAGCAAATTTTCCTGCCTCAGGCTCCCAAGTAGCTGTGATTACAGGCTTGTACCACCATGCCCAGCTAATTTTTTAATTTTTAATTTTTAGTAAAGGCGGGGTTTCACCATGTTGGCCAGGATGGTCTTGATCTCCTGACCTCTTGTTCCACCCACCTTGGCCTCCCAAAGTGCTGGGATTACAGGTGTGAGCCTTTTTTTTTTTTTTTTTTTTTACTATTAACTTTATCTTTTTTGTATTCTACTGCATCTTCTCAGAATTGTGTTCTGTCACCAAAAGCAGTTTCAACAAAAACAAAAACTGACAAATGGGATCTAATTAAAGAGCTTTTGCACAGCAAAATAAATGATCAATAAACAGACAACCTACAGAATGGGAGAAAATTTTTGCAAACTATGCGTTCTACAAAGGTCTAATATCCAGTATCTATAAGGAACTTAAATAAATTTACAAGAAAAAAAAAAAAAAAAAAAAACAGGCCGGGTGCTGTGGCTCACGCTTGTAATCTCAGCTCTTGGGGAGGCAGAGGCGGGAGGATAGCTTGAGCCCAGGAGTTCGAGACCTGCCTGGGCAATATAGTGAGACCCTGTTCTCCACAAAAAGGAAAAAAAAACATTAAAAAGTCATCAAAGGACATGAACAGACACTTTTCAAAAGAAAACATACATGCAACCAATAAGCATATGAAAAACCAGCTCAACATCACTGGTCATTAAAGAAATGCAAACCAAAACCACAATGAGATACTACCTCATGCCAGTCAGAACCGTGATTATTAAAAAGTCAAAAAATAACAAATGCGGGCAAGGTTGCAAAGAAAAAGAAACACTTCTACCCTGTTGGTGGGAATGTAAATTAGTTCAACCATGACGGAAAGCAGTGTGGTGAATCCTCAAAGAGCTAAAAAGAGAACTACCATTCAACTCAGCAATCCTGTTATTGGATATATATACCCAAAGGAATATAAATCGTTCTACCATAAAGACACATGCACTTGCATGTTCATTGCAGCATTATTCACAATAGCAAAGACATGGAATCAACCTAAATGCCATCAATGGTAGATGGGATAAAGAAAATGTGGTATATATCCATCATGGAATACTATGCAGCCATAAAAAAGAATAAGATCATGTCCTTTGCAGGAATGCTAATGGAGCTGAAGGCCATTATCCTTAGAAAACTAACAAAGGAGGCCAGACATGGTGGTTCACACCTGTAATCCCAGCACTTTGGGAGGCCAAGATGGGTGGATCATGAGGTCAGGAGTTCAAGACCAGCCTGACCAACATGGTGAAACCCCACATCTTAAAAAAGAAAAAGTAAAGTAAAAAAGCTAACATAGGAACAGAAAACCAAATACTGCATATTCTCAGTTATAAATGGGAGCTAAATGATGAGAACACATGAACACATACAGGGGAACACCACACACCAGGGCCTACTGGAGGGTGGAGGGTGAGAGGAGGGAGAGGATCAGAAAAAATAACTAATGGGTACTAGGCTTAATATCTGGGTGACAAAATAATCTGTGCAACAAACCCTTATGACACAAGTTTATCTATATAAAACCACACATGTACCCTTGAATTTAAGGTTAAAAATTATTATTATTATTATTATTATTTTGAGACAGAGTCTTTCTGTCGCCCAGGCTGGAGTGTAGTGGTGTGATCTCAGCTCACTGCAACCTCTGCCTCCTGGGTTCAAGCGATTCTCCTGCCTCAGCCTCCTGAGTAGTTGGGATTAAAGGCACGTGCCACCACACCTGGCTAATTTTTGTATTTTTAGTAGACAGGGTTTAGCCATATTGGCCGGGTTGATCTCGAACTCCTAACCTCAGGTGATTCACCCTGGCCTGGTGAGGTTGAACTCCTAACCTCAACGCGCCCAGCCAAATTATGTTGTTTTTAAACTTAGCATTATATAATGTTTTTAATGATGTTATTTCATCCTTATGAATAGATTTTTTAAAAGAGTCTTTCCTGACTGTAAAAGTAAAGCATATTTATTATTTTTAAAATACAGATAATGTGAAGAAAGTGAAAAATTACCTTTGATATTTTGAAGTGTATCCTTCAAAATTTTTTCTATGCATACATAAATATATATGTACAAAAATGTAATCATACCATATATGGTTTTAGTCCCTGTTTTCCATGTCAATAAATGGATATATAGCGGCATATTTAATGTTTTTATGAATATATAGCATTATTTATATATTCTATTAGTGACATTGCAATTGTTTCCAAATTGTCACTGTTCTGTCTTCATCATCTTCTCTCCTTAGGACTAATTCCTACAAGTAGAATTGGTGAGTCACAGAGAATGCACATTCAAATACTTTAAAATACATTGTTTACCAATCTCACTCCCAGTAGAAATGTATGTAAGGTTCCTTTCCCTTTGCTCTAGCCAATATAATTATCCTTCTTAATACTCACAAAATAATCCAGAATTAATGCTCAGCAAACAGACCTTCCAGTTTGGAGGCGGGGAAGTGGAAGGTTTATTCCTCCTCTCAAAAAAAAAAAAAAAAAAATTTAAAAATTTAAAAAGTTTGCTGAACATGCTAGCGTAGAGAACAAGTTAAAAACTTTCGGGACTCAAAGGGCTCTTCCAAAGCCCCGGGCCTCCCGGCTACCCGCCTTGAAGCCGCTACGCCCCTGTCCTGGACCCGGGTTGGCCGCCGGGTGGCAAGGGGAAGCCCGGGCCGACGGCGGTTCCAGCACACTGCCGCCAAGGCAGGCGAAGAAGAGGGCCACACTGGGTGGGGACAACAGGGTCCCTGTCCCAGAGGGCACGAAGGAAGGTCAGGGAGAGGGAATTTAGAGTTAGAGGCGGTGGATCGAGTGAGAAACTGCGGCGGCAACGGTCTCTCATCGCCGGAACCCCGCCGTGCGCCGCCAGGGACGCGAGGGGGCGCTACTGCCGCGCCAGGAGCAAGGGTCCCGGGGCCCCCGAGCGCCTCCCGGTGGACTCGGGCGGCATCGGGACTCCGCCTACCGCGTTTCCACAGTCGGCCTTGGGTCCCTGGAGGGTTCGCCGGTGGGAAGAGCCTGGGTCACGGGACTTTCGCCGACACCCTGCGCCCAGCCTGGTGGCTGTGCACACGAGGGCGTCGACGGGACCGTCCACGTCTCAGCCTGTCCTCTGTGAGGCGGGGCCGCGGCGGTACCTCTCCCAGGGAAGGCCGCGCGGAGGGTTAATGAGTCCTAGGCGCTGGCGGGGATCTCTGTACATCCCCAAAACACACCCCATCCGATACCCAGCACCCAGTACCGAGGGCCTATTAACAACTTCCCGGAGGCCGGAGGGGCAGGGCGGGCTCGCTGTGTCCTCCCTCTCAGCGCTCTCGAGGCCTCCGTCCCGAATCAGAAAAGGATCTTACAAACCCTGTGCCTCCTCTCGGGGAGCCCCCCCAACCCACTGCGTAACCCAGCAGGGAGGAATGGCACAAGTGAAGGAAAATGCGTTCAAAAGCCTTACCAGGAGGTGTCAGAATCAGCAGCATCTGACAGTACTCTTGGGAGAAAGGACGCCCGCCCCTCCTGGCCAGCTGTTCGCTCTGCCAAAGCCCTGGCGCGACCCCGCACATCTTGCTCTGTTGCCTACTCCAGATCCCAGTTAGAGGAGCAGGCTGTGGCCACCCCTAAGAATGAGGTGATGGGAGCCGGTTGGGGCTGGGCTCTGTGTTGGTAGTTGTCATGGTTTTGCTCCGAGTTCTGGAGCCAACCTGCCCACTCCCTGAGACGTCCAGGTCACAGAAGCAGTAGGTTAGAAGCCAGAGGGGACGTAAGGAGTGCCACTCTGGAGCCTACCGGCACGCCTGCTAAGATGGAGGCCTCAGATGGACAAGGGGGTGAAGGGGACAAGCCACTGGAGAAGGTGAAGTGGGGTGTGAGGGAGGGGGGGAAGAAGGAAGGAAGGAGGGTCCGGGAGGGGCTGGTTTTGGAAAGCAGAGAGCATGAAACTCAGGAAAGAAGAGAACAATGGTAGGGTACCTGAGACAGCAAGAGGCCTAAAGCACAAGAATGTTCATTCATTCAGATGTTTGTGCCTGAACTGCCTTCCTGGTGAGATGATGGGGAAGAGGTCGCATCTCATTGTTGTATGAAGACTTGAGAGTATGTATGTGTATGTACACATGGCCTGTGTGTGTGGCTGTGTGGTGTGTGTGCTGTGTTTGGGGGAGTTGATCTGCCAGAGTCCTGTGTCTCTAGGACCTGGAGGAGCCTGTGTCACATCTCCTCTCCCTGCACTCTCTCCCTTTCCCCTGGCCTTTCCCTTCAGACTGCTCTGGACATGGATCTTCCTTGTTCTCCCCGAACACAGACCAGAATTCATACTTTTCTGAGCAGATTTTGAAAGGTAGATGCAAATCCAGTTCTGACTCGTAGTGTTATTTCTTTTTATGATTATTATTTTAAGACGGGGTTTCAGCATGTTGGTCAGGCTGGTCTTGAACTCCCGACCTCAGGTGATCTGCCCGCCTTGGCCTCCAAAGTGCTTGGATGACAGGCGTGAGCCACCACGCCCGGCCTCCTAGTGTTATTTCACCACTTTGTCCACTGCTTTTCAGCTTGCTTGCTTGCTTGCGCTGTCTCTCTCTCTCTCTCTCTCTCTCTCTCTCTCTCTCTCTCTCTCTCTCTCTCTCTCTCTCTCTCTCTCTCTCTCTCTTTCTTTCCAGGGTCTTGCTCTGTCACCCAGGCTGGAGTGCAGTGGCTCAATCTTGGCTCACCACAACCTCTGCCTCCTGGGTTCCAGCAATTCTCCATCTCCCAAGTAGATGGGATTACAGGTGCGCACCACCATACTTAGCTGATTTTTTTGTATTTTTGGTAGAAATTGGGTTTTGCCATGTTGGCCATGCTGGTCTTGAACTTCTGGGCTCAAGTAATCCACTCACCTCAGCCTCCCAAAGTGCTGGGATTACAGGCGTGAGCCACCATGTCTGGCCTAATTTTCAGCTATGTTTGCCCCACTTTTGCAGTCAAAGCTTCTTTCTTGTCATCACCAGTGTCTACTTTTTTTGAATGCTCATTAGAGGCACGGTTTATTAGTCCGTTTGGCATTCCTATAGAGGAATACCTGAGACTAAGCAATTTATAAAGGAAAAAGGTTTATTTGGCTCACAGTTCTGCAGGCAATACACAAAGCATGGTGCCAGCATCTGCTTCTGGTGAAGGCCTCAGGAAGCTTACAAGCATGGCTGGAGATGAAGGGGGAGCAGGCTTGTCACTTGGTGAGACAGCAAGCAAGAAAGAGAGGAGGACATGGCAGGCCTTGTTACTACTCAGCTCTCACATTAACTAACAGAGTGAGAACTTGCCTAGTTAGGGCAGGGAGGGAACCAAGCCCATTCATGAAGGATCCACCCCCATAACCCAAACACCTCCCACCAGACCCCAACTCCAACACTGGGGATCACATTTCAATATGAGATTTGGAGGGGACACACATCAGGCTGGGCCCATTTCTTTGCATCCCTAGCCTTTAGCATCATGTCACGTGATATGTGTGACATGATGGTAAGTCATGTGACATAATGGTAAAGGCTAGGGATGCAAAGAAATGGGCCCAACCTGATGCAGTCAGCAAACATTTGAGTGAGTGAGTGAGTAAATCAATCCCTGCTCATTCCCCCAATGAGTTGCTTAAAACTTTTGATGCCCCATTGTTCTCATCTGTAACCAGGGTTAATGATATTGAAACTTTATAAAATTAATCAGAAAAAAAAAGGGGAAAAATGAAAATAAACTGAGCTAGCAGCCCATTCAGCATGAGTCATGAGGTCAGCCTGTGCTCTGACTCACTTCCTTAGAGTTCTTTGGTGCCTGTTTCCTCAGAATTCCATAGACCTGGCCAGGCATGTTAGCTCATGCCTGTAATCCCAGCACTTTGGGAGGCCAAGGCAGGTGGATCACTTGAGGTCAGGAGTTTGAGACCAGTGTGGCCAACACGGTGAAACCCCATCTCTACTAAAAATACAAAAATTAGCCAGATGTGGTGGTGCATGCCTGTAATTCCAGGTACTTGGGAGGCTGAGGCAGGAGAATCAAACACAGGAGGCGGAGGTTGTAGAGGTTGCAGTGAGCCGAGATCCCACCACTGTACTCCAACCTGAGTGATAGAGTAAAACTCTGTCTCACAAAAAAATAAATAAATAAAGAATTCCACGGACCCTGTTACAAGATGATATTCCCTTAACTGCTCTGTAGATAACAGCTCGAACATTATAAAGCATTAAGTTTTCTCTTTAAAATACTATTTCAGGTCCTACACACCAGTAAAACTACAGATGCCAGATGGTCTAAAGAACCCTTCAAAAACCTAATTCACCAAAGAATACAGTTTCCACATCCTCATAATTTCATCCCCCTGACATTGGCCATCAATGACCCCAGTTTTTTCAATCCCTCCCTCTCCATGATCTCCTTAAAAACCCCAGTTCAGAACTCCTTCAGGAGGGGTCTCTTTTCATCTCCTCACTGAGCACCCAACAATCAATAAAATCTCTCTCATGGCTGGGTGCAGTGGCTCAAGCCTGTAATCCCAGCACTTTGGGAGGCAAAGGCAGGTGGATCACAAGGTCAAGAGATCGAGACCAGCCTGGTCAACATGGTGAAACCCCGTATCTACTAAAAATACAAAAAATTAGCTGGGCATGGTGGCGCGTGCCTGTAATCCCAGCTACTCAGGAGGCAGAGGTTGTGGTGAGCCAAGATTGCGCCATTGCACTCCAGCCTGGGTAACAAGAGCGAAACTCCATCTAAAAAAAAAAAATCTCTCTCATAGTGATGTGATCTTGGCTCACTACAACCTTCACCTCCTGGGCACAAGCAATCCTCCCATCTCAGCCTCCTGGGTAGCTGGGACCACAGGTGCACACCACCATGCCCGGCTAATTTTTATATTTTTTGTAGAGACAAGGTCTCACTATATTGCCCAGGCTGGTCTGCTGCAACTTTTGTCATCTTCATATATTGGACTGTGACTGTCCAGCAGGCATATAAACCTGTTGGTCATATAACATCTCACCTGACAGAATTTGTGGGAGAATAAAGTGGGTGAATATTTACCAGGTGCTTTGCAAAGTTACCTAGTAGAATATGCTATGATTATTATAAAAGAAAGGGGTAGAATATTCTAGGTTTCCCAAGCAGAGATTTTCAGAGATGAGTTTCTTTGTCCAAGGCTCACTCACATCAGTGCTGGGTCCAGAAGGTCAGAGGGCAATGGAGAAGGGCTTTGGCTGCCATTTGGGCCAGTCCTTGCCCAGCACTGCCCCCAGGAGTAATGGTCCAAGCCCCTGGCTGAGTGCCCCCTGCCTCTTCCCAGGTGACAAATGTGCCCTGCCTGGAGACAAGCTCCAGCACCAGCCCTGCCAGAGACTCACTCCTGCGCCATGCCAAGGGCCTGGATCAGGACACATTCAAAATTGTGAGTGAAGGGCCTGCCTGGAACCCTGTCCCTTTTCCCCATTGGCTAGGAAGGCTGAGTCAGGAAATGGCAGGCCTCAGACCCACAGTACATTGCCCCACTTTCTTACTCTTGGGAAAGACGCGGGGTGAGAGGTATACCGGAGCCACCTCCTGAAACACGCAGCACCTCGCCACTGAAGGCTGTGGCCAGGAGGTTCTGCTGGATACCTGAGATGGCCCATCTGCCTCTTCTTTTCTCCCATGGCCCCTCACCTCACCTGTTGCCTCCTCAGTGTAAAGAATACCTAAGACCACTGAAGAAGTTCCTGCGAAAGTTGCACCTGCCCAGGGACCTTCCCCAGAAGAAGAAGCTGAAGTACATGAAGCAGAGCCTTGTGGTCCTAGGGGAACACATCAACACTTTTCTGCAGCATTACTGCCGAGCCTGGGAAATCAAACACTGGAGAAAGTAGGGCACCCCCTTTGCTCCCCATACCACTCCTGGGATACCCCTGCTCCATTCAAGGGGACACCTTAGTCGATCCCCCAGTCCTTCATCTTTATGTGGTGGAGTCAGGAGCCTGGAGGGGTAGAGAGAGCTCCTAGTCACTCAGGGCAGCCCTGATGGCACCTTGGCTCTGAGTAACTGGCTGCAGGCGCTGAACACCAGGACAGGATATTCAAGTTCGGGCAGATCTCCACCCCTCCATCCCCCAATCCCAAACCCTGAAGGGGCATATGGCCCATATTCTCCTGGGTGGGTGCTGGCCTGGAGACATATGCTGGAGAGAGAAAGCACTGTGTTCCACCTCCCCAGCCTGGGGCCTCTCTCTTGCAGGATGCTCTGGCGGTTCGTCTCCCTCTTCTCAGAGCTGGAAGCAAAGCAGCTTTGCCGACTTTACAAATACACCAAGAAAAACCAGCCGGCCAAGTTCCTGGTGAGGCACGGGACAGTTCTGCCTGGACACAGCTGAGGATTGGTTGGTGTGTCCTTAGACTTTGGGGAAGGCCTGGGACTGACACACCCAGAGCCCCTCTGCTCCTTCCCAGGGCACACTGCCAGGACAAGACTCTGCTGCTCAACCTTTACCCCTGCCCTGGGCAGAGTGAGCTGAAGAGGCTGAGGGTCAGCATCAAGCTCTCCATATGTATTTGATCCATGGCAGGCGAGCCTCCAAAGGGGCTTAGCCTGAGAAAGTTCTTGGTTTTGCCCAGGAAAGAATTCAAGGGTGAGCCAGGGGTATTAAACAGCAACTTGTATGGCAGTGGCTATGTAGAGTAGCAGCAGAGGTACTGCTCCTTGCAGAGTGCGGCTGCCCTACAGACAGTGTGCCCAGAGTAGCAGCTCAGGGGCAGTTCTCTGCTCAGACTTATCCCCACTTTTAATTATATGCAAATTATGGGGTGGTTATTCAGAATTTCTTAGAAAAAGGGTGGTACTTCTGGGTTGTTGCCATGGAAAGGGGTCGCAACTTCCAAGTGTTACTGTGGCAGTGCTAAACTGACCTGGCATTGGTAGGGACGTCTTAGAAAGAGAGGTGCTTTCACCTCTTCCCTGTTTCAGCTAGTCTTTTTTTTCCCCCAGCCTAGACTTTTTTTTTAATAGCAGTTTAAAGTTTACAGAAAAACTAAGTGGAAAGAGGCCGGGTGCAATGGCTCACGCCTGTAATCCCAGCATTTTGGGAAGCCAAGGCAGGCAGATCACAAGGTCAAGGGATTGAGACCATCCTGGCCAACATGGTGAAACCCCTAAAAATGCAAAAATTAGCTGGGTGTTGTGGCGCGTGCCTGTAGTCCCAGCTACTAAGGAGGCTGAGGCAGGAGAATCGCTTGAACCCAGGAGTCAGAGGTTGCAGTGAGCTGAGATTGCACCACTGCACTCCAGCCTGGGTAATAAGAGCGAAACTCCGTCTCAAAAAGAAAAAAAGAAAGTATAGCGTTACCATCTACTCTTCCCCTCTCCTCATTTCCCTAATCATTAGCATCTTGCATTAGAGTGGTACCTTTGTTATAACTGATGACCTAATATTGATACATTATTATTAGCTAAAGTCCACAGTTCACAGTAGGGCACATGCTTCATGTTGTATAGGCTATATATAGGTTTTGCCAAATGTATGATGACATGTACCTACCATTATGGTATAATATGGAAGAGTTCCATATTCATGTCCTCATACACTGTATCATTCGGTCCTAAAACCCCCTATGCTCCATCTATTTGTCCCTGCCCTCCTGCTCCCACCCCCCTGGCAACCAATGATCTTAGGTTCACTGTCTCTGTAGTTTTGCTTTCTCAGAATGTCATATATTTGGGGTCATACAATATGTAGCCTTTTCAGATTTGTATCAATGAACTTTTCATACTAGGTTTCATTAGAATCCATTGGTTTCAGGAGGTCCCTGAGGTCAAAATATTGCAGGGACTCCTGGGGGTTTACAAAGCACATTTTGAGAACCACTGGTCCAGAATCACAGTCACAGATAAAACAGTTATAAAGGCATTCTATGTGCCAGGCACTTTGTGTTCCTTCGAGTAATATTCAAAAGCAACCATAAGTGGTAATTAAGATTATTGTCTGCAGCAAGTAAGGTAATTTGTCGCAGTCCTTATACCAAGTAGGAAGGAAGAGGCCAGGTTCAGCCTCCAGCAGCTGGGATGAGAGCTGTGCTCTGACCACTCCTTCCTGTCACACTCAGGCAGGGCGGCTGGAAACAGGCCCCCACCTCTGCATCTGTTTCTTCCTCTGAGCATGTAATGACTGGATCATTTCAGTGCTCTCTTTTCTGATTGCAAGGAGCTGCCACTCCACTGATTTCTAGATTCCTGAATTTCACTGCCCAGAATTTTTTTTTTTTCCAAGACAGTTTTGCTCTTGTTCCCCTGGCTGGAGTGCAGTAGTGTGATCTCAGCTCACTGCAACCTCCACTTCCCAGGTTCAAGAGATTCTTCTGCCTCAGCCTTCTGAGTAGCTGGGATTACAGGCAAGCACCACCACACCAGGCTAATTTTTGTGTTTTTAGTAGAGACAGGATTTCACATGTTGGCCAGGCTGGTCTCAAACTCCTGACCTCAGGTGATCTGCCTGCCTTGGCCTCCCAAAGGACTACAGGCATGAGCCACTGTGCCCGGCTGAAAAATTTATATTATATGTGTATATATACATATAGTCTTTGAACTTTAATTTCAAAATTCAGGCTCTCAGTTTTATGAATTTTTTTTTAAACAGACTCAAAGCTTACAAAGGCTCCCAATTTAATTTTTGCTAAGTTAGGTCTTTAAAACAAATGTTTCACTGCAAACAAACCGGTAAGACGCTGCAATTCCAAAAAGAGATGGAAGATCTGATCTCAAAATAAAGGACAACCCAAGAAGACACCATTGGCAGCTTGCCTCCATGTCCTCAAGTTCCTTTCTCTCCCACATCTGTGATTCCTACCCCATCCTTTTGCTTAGGGAAGTGTGAGGGGCAGCCAGATCTCAGTATTTCTCAACAAATGCAGGGCCGGGACTCTGAAGTTCAGGTACCCCTCTCCTAACACTCTCCTTAATACGGAGGCTCCATGGCAGGTGGCATTGTACCCCTCGGATGCACCAGAGAGATCCTCGCTGGCCGTCCAGGAAGACAGTCTGCCCAAGCTCTGTGATGCCTGGGGGCTGCGTGGTGACATCAGCAGCATGAAGGAGCGGCTGTCCAAGATGCAGGCCCCAGCTCAAGGGAGCTCCCTGACTGGGGAGCAGACATCCCAGGACCATGTCGAGAGAGGTAATGCCCATTTGCTGCTGGGGTGATGCCTGGGCCCATGGATTTGTGAGTGGTGTCTGGGTGTTTCCCAAGAGTAGACTCAAGCAGCCAGGAGCCTCTTCCTGGAGCCTGACAAGTTCCTCTTCCCTCCTTTTCATCTTCTCTTTACCCTGCCTTTTCCTTCCTGTCCATCTTTTCTTCTCCTTCTCCACTTTCTCTTTTCTTTTTAGTTCTCCTCTTCACCAGGTGTGCTCATTATAGAAAGGTTTTTATTTTATTTTATTTATTTACTTGAGATCAAGTCTCACTCTGTTGCCAGGGCTGGAGTGCAGTGGTGAAATCTCGGCTCACTGCAACCTCTGACTCCCAGGTTCAAGCAATTCTCCTGCCTCAGCCTCCTGAGTAGCTGGGATTACAGGTGCCTGCCACCTCGCCCAGCCAATTTTTGTATTTTTCATAGAGACTGGGTTTCACCGTGTTGCCCAGGCTGGTCTTAACTCCTGAGCTCAGGCAATCCACCCACCTCGGCCTTCCAAACTGCTAGGATTACCAGGTGTGAGGCAGCGCTCCTGCCCTTTATTTTATTATTATTTTTTAGGTTTGGCTTGTCTGTTTGTTTGAGATGAAGTCTCACTCTGTCACCCAGGCTGGAGTGCAGTAGCTCGATCTTGGCTCACTGCAACCTCCGCCTTCCAGGTTCAAGTGAGTACCGGGTACTGCCTCAGCCTCCCAAGTAGCTGGTATTACAGGTGTGCACCACCATGCCCAGCTTTTGTATTTTTAGTGGGGGGGGCGTCTTGCCATGTTGGCCAGGCTGGTTCCGAACTCCTGATCTCAAGTGACCTGCCCACCTCGGCCTCCCAAAGTGCTGGGATTACAGATGTAAGCCACTGAGCCCAGCTGGTCCTGTTTAAATTGAGGATGTAAACATACAAGAGAATGAAGACCAGTCCATAATTAATTTTCTCTGGACCAAGCAGTTCATGACTCAGATGAGGAACGTGAGCTCTGGGCTTCTGGAATGATTTCTCTCTGTACCAGGGGCTTTGTATCTCTTAATTTCACTCAACCCCTTTATCATCCTGATGAGATAGGTGGTATTATCTCCCTTTTACAAACAGCTGTCTGAGGCCACAGGGCAAAGGATGTATCAGTCAAGACAGGCTGCCTGGAGTGGGTAGATTTGGGACAGGCTTTAAAGAAAAGGATAAGGATATGGATGAAGGAAAGGAGGGAAGTGGAAAGGAAGTGCAGAGGTGAAGGGCAGCGAGTAGACGGCCTGGGTTTGGTGGTGAATGGAAGAGCAGGTTGGAGAGATGCAAGGAGGGAAGCAACAGGAGAAAGCCTTGGATGATGGGTTTTCATGCATTTATTAAAATTAATAATGTTTTTATTAGTATAAATATAAGCAGAGAAAATTTGATTATACAGATAAGCAAAAATAAGGAAATATAAACATCACATTGTCATCATCACTATTAACTTTCCAAATCTTTAAAATGTATATGTATATATAAATATATAATATATATGTATATGTAATGTAAATATTTATATATAAATATATATATAAATATATTTAAAAAAAATATATATATATATATAGAGAGAGAGAGAGAGACAGAGTCTCTCTGTGTCTCCAGGCTGGAGTGCAGTAGTGTGATCTGGGCTCACTGCAACCTTCACCTCCCAAGTTCAAGTAATTCTTCTGCCTCAGCCTCCCCAGTAGCTAGGACTATAGGCTTGCACCACCATGCCCAAGTAATTTTTGTATTTTTAGTAGAGACTGGGGTTTCACCACATTGCCCAGGATAGCCTCGCTCTCTTGACCTCGTGATCCACCTGCCTCGGCCTCCCAAAGTGCTGGGATTACAGGCATGAGCCATCGTGCCCAGTCATAAATATATATATTTTTTATTTTCTATTGAGATGGAATTTTGCTCTTGTTGTCCAGGCTGGAGTGTAAGGGCATGATCTTGGCTCACGAAACCTCCGCCTCCCAGGTTCAAGCAATTTTCCTGCCTCAGCCTCTCAAGTAGCTGGGATTACAGGCACCTGCCACCATGCCTGGCTAATTTTATACTTCTAATGGAGATGGGTTTCTACATGTTGGTCAGGCTGGTCAAACTCCTGACCTCAAGCGAGCCACCTGTCTTGGTCTCCCAAAGTGCTGGGATTACAGGCGTGAGCCACCATGCCTGGGCTAAATATATATATTTTAAATAAAATGAGATCATGATGTACATGTGATTTTGATTTGGAGTTGCTTTTTTTTTGAGATGGAGTTTCACTCTTGTTGCCAGCTTGGAGTGCAATGGCACAATCTCGGCTCACTGCAACCTCTGCCTCCTGGGTTCACGTGATTCTCCTGTCTCAGTCTCCTTCCTGAGTAGGTAGGATTGGGGCACATGCCACCATGCCTGGCTAAGTTTTGTATTTTTAGTAGAGATGGGGTTTCATCATATTGGTCAGGCTGGTCTTGAACTCCTGACCTCAGGTAATCCATCTGCCTTGGCCTTCCAGAGTGCTGGGGTTACAGACATGAGCCACAGTGCCCGGCCTGGAGATGCTTTTTTAAAGTTAATAGTATCAACCTTTCTTTTTTCTTTTTCTTTTTTTTGATATGGGTTTTTCATTCCTGGCACCTAGGCTGGAGTGGCGTGGCTTGATCTCAGCTCACTGCAACCTCCACCTGCTGGTTCAAGTGATTCTCTTGCCTCAGGCTCCCAAGTAGCTGGGACTACAGATGCACACCACCGTGCCTGAGTAATTTTTGTATTTTTTGTAGAGAGGGAGTTTTGCCACGTTGCCCAGCCTGCTCTCGGATACCTGGGCTCAAGAGATCCACCTGCTCCGCCTCTCAAAGTGCAGGGATTACAGGCATGAGCCACCATGCCTGGTCCCAAATCAACATTTCCACATAAATATTTTCATTTCATCTAATAGCCATACTAAATACTTTGTATTCAAATATTCCCAGCAGCCAAAGATAACTTTTGCACTGGCTTCTCAAACCATGCATTTCACCTGGTCAAGTCTCTTAAATCTTTAAACCTAAGAAAGTTCTTTTTTTTTTTTACATCCCTGACCTGCTGAAAAGATGAGGCTATTATTCAGCAGAATGTTCTCCTTCCCGATTTATTCCCTGTTGCTTCCTTTCGACATATTTTAGCTCGTTCCTCTATAAACAGGACTTGAAAGTCTTCATGGGTTCATGTTTTTGTCCAGGCTACATAAGAGATGAGGTTATGTTCTTCCCATTATTACCTGACAAAGCACAAAAGATCTCATGGACTCACAGGAATGGGCTAAGATGAGTCACCAAGTCTGTCCTTGTAATGAAAATAACCTACGTGGTGTTTCTTTGGCACTATGTTCATAAAGTCAGTTATTTAATTATTTATTTTTTTGAGACAGAGTCTCACTCTGTGGCCCAGGCTGGAGTGCAGTGGTGCGATCTCAGCTCACTGTAACCTTGGCCTCCCTGGTTCAAGTGATTCTCCTACCTCCCAAGTAGTTTAGATTACAGGCGTGCACCACCACACCTGGGTAATTTTTGTATTTTTAGTAGAGATGGGGTTTCATCATGTTGGCCAGATGGGTCTCGAACTCCTGACCTCAAGTGATCCACCTACCTCAGCTTCCCAAAGTGCTGGAATTACAGGCATGAGCCACCATGCCTGGCCATAAAGTTAATTTTTAATGAAGACTTGGCAGTGGGGTTTGTAAACAGTACTGGGAATTGGGTCATGAGGCCTGAGAAAGGAGTAAGGAAGAATCAGAGACTGGAGCCAGAGGTCAAGGAAAATTGGGTCTTGCTCTGACTCTTTTCCTAACTTGCTGTAAGACTCTGGGCAGGTCATCATTTTACCCTATATCTAAACTGGGGACAATGCCATCTCTCTACACGGTTTCTGTGAGAAAAGACTAAGTGATATATAGGTTGGAAGTAAGATAAGATTTTGCTATTCTTCCTCTGCTCCTATCACACCCCCCATATATTACAGACTGAAATATTTACTATTTGTGATGTCATTGGGACTTTCTCTGACCTTCCCTTTTTCAGATTCTTTAAGGAAACTTTCTCAAACATCAAAACTCAAGAGAAGGAGGATAAAGGAAGTCCCAGAATCTCCAGAGACTGACCCATAAGAAGACCTGCTGGGATAAAAGGCCAGCTCACCCTGGCTCTCAGAGCATGGGGAATGGGGACCAAAAAGGGGAAAAAAGAAAATTATCCTTATCAAGGGGATGCTCAGGTCTTAATTAGAAATCAATGAGGTGGGAAATAAACATTCTTATGACAGTTCTACTTTACTTGACTAACAGTCATTATTCATACATTTTTAATTTGTTTAAAAAATACCTGCCAGCCACCTTCTAAGTGGCAGGTGGCCCACATATGCATGGATGAATAAGATATGGTCACTTGTGTCAAGGACCATCACAGTTGAGTGGAGCAGACAGACACAGAAAAGACATGATGGCAGGGTAAATACAGGTGACTGGGGCAGGCCTCGGAGGAGGTAACAAAGCAGCTGGGTGTTTGCCAAGGGAGCGCACAGGTGGGGAGGGAGGGAGCCTGGGGTCAGAGAATGGCAAGCCTGGCAGCCTACCTGCATCGTCTGGGCTTCATTCTGTCGGTAGCTTGGGATGGGCAGTAGCAAGGGAGATATCAGGCAGTGGAATAAATGGGTTGATAAGGGCATTGGGGAGATGCTCTGGTGACTGTGAGCAAGGTGCATGGAAGACAGCAAGGCTAGAGGCAGGAGACCAAAGAGGAAACAACACCGACGGTCTTAGCTAACATGCAGCCAGCAGTCTCAAGCAGCCTGTGAACGAAAGTAAGGCCACCAATGTGCTTTGTTTGTCCCTGGTCATGTTCTATTTATTTAAACACTTTAAGGCCAGGCATGGTGGCTGATGCCTGTAATCCCAGCACTTCGGGAGGCTGAGGTGGGAGGATCCTTTGAGTGCAGGAGTTTCAGACTAGCCAGGGTGACATGGCAAAACCCCACCTCTACAAAAAAGTTAGCTGGTCATAGTGGCATGCATCTGTAGTTCCAGCTACTCAGGAAGCTGAGGTGGGAGAATTGCTTGAACCCATGTGTTAGTTTTTTCTCATGCTGCTAATAAAGACATACCTGAGACTGGGTAATTTATAAAGAAAAGAGGTTTAACTGACTCACAGTTCCACGTGGCTGGGGAGGCCTCATATTCTTGGCAGAAGGCAAATGAGGAGCAAAGTCACATCTTACATGGCAACAGGCAAAACAACGTGTGGAGGGGAACTCCCCTTTATAAAACCATCAGATCTCATGAGACTTTTTCACTACCAAGAAAACAGCACAGAAAAAAACCTTCCCGTATGATTCAGTTACTCCCCATTGGGTCCCTCCTACAGCATGTGGGGATTATTACAATTAGAAGTGAGATTTGGGTGGGGACACAGAGCCAAACTATATCATTCAGCCCCAGCCCTTTCCAAATCTCATGTCTTCACATTTCAAAACCAATCATGCCTTCACAATAGTTCCCCAAAGTTTTAACTCATTTCAGCATTAACCCAAAAGTCCAAGTCCAAAGTTTCATCTGAGTCAAGGCAAGTCCCTTTCACCTACGAATCTGTAAAATCAAAAGCAAGTTAGTTACTTCCTAGATACAATGGGGTGCAGGCATTGGGTAAATAAATTCCAAATGGGAGAAATTGGGCAAAATGAAGAGGCTACATGCCCCAAGCAAGTCTGAAATCCTATAGGTCAGTCAAATATTAAAGTTCCAAAATGATCTCCTTTGATTCTATGTCTCATGTACAGGTTATGCTGATGGAACAGGTAGGTTCCCATGGTCTTGGGCAGCTCTGGCCCTGTGGCTTTGCAGGATACAGCCTCACTCTTGGCTGCTTTCACAGGCATTGAATGTATGCAGCTTTTCTAGGTGCACAGTGAGCTGTTGGTGGACCTACCATTCTGGGGTCTGGAGGGCAGTGGCCCTCTTCTGACAGCTCCACTTGGCAGTGCCCCAGTGGGAACTCTGTGTGTAGTCTCCCATCCTACATTTCCCCTCCACACTGCCCTAGGAGAGGTTCCCCATGAAGGCTCCACCCCTGCTGTGCACCTGTGCCTGGACATTCAAGCATTTCCATACATCCTCTGAAATCTAAGTGGAAGTTTCCAAACCTCAATTTTTGACTCTGGCACCTGCAGGCTTAACACCATGTGGAAGCTGCCAAGGCCTGGGGCTTGTACCTTCTGAAGCTATGGCCCAAGCTGTACCCTTTTAGCCACACTGGAGCAACTGGGATGCAGGGCATCAAATCCTGAGGCTGCACACAGCAGGGGAGCCCCAGACCTGGCTCAGGAAAACATTTTTTTCTCCTAGACCTCTGGGCCTGTGATGGGAGGGCTTCCGAGAAGGTCTCTGACATGCCCTGGAGACATTTTCCCCATTGTCTTGGGGGTTAGCATTTGGCTTCTCCTTACTTATGCCAATTTCTGCTGCCAGCTTGAATTTCTCCCCAGAAAATAAGTTTTTCTTTTCACCATCAGGCTTCAAATTTTGTGAACTTTTATGCTCTGCTTCCCTTTTATATGTAAGTTCTAATTCCAAACCATATTGCTGGAATACACAAAACTGAATGCTTTTAACAGCACCCAAATTACCTTCTGAATGCTTTGCAGCTTAGAAATTTCTTCTGCCAGATGCCCTAAATCATCTCTCTCAAGTTCAAAGTTCCACAAATATCTAGGGCAGGGGCCTTTGCCACAGAGGCAAATGTCTCTTTGCTAAAGCATAACAAGAGTGGCCTTGCTGCAGTTCCCAACAAGTTGCTCATCTCCATCTGAGACCACCTCAGTCTGGACTTCATTTTCCATAGCACTATCAGCATTTTGGTCAAAGTCATTCAAAAGTCTCTAGGAAGTTCTAAACTTTTTCACATTTTTCTATCTTCTTCTGAGCCCTGCAAACTGTTCCAACCTCTGTCTGTTACCCAGTTCCAAGGTCGCTTCCACATTTTTGGCAGCACCCCACTATCCAGTACCAATTTACTCGATTAGTCTGCTCTCATGCTGCTAATAAAGACATACCATAGACTGGGTAATTTATAAAGAAAAGAGATTTAATTGACTCACAGTTCTACATGGCTGGGGAGGCCTCACAATCATGCCAAAGGTGAATGAGGAGCAAAGAAAGTCATGTCTTATATGGCAGTAGGCAAGAGAGTATATGCAGGGGAACTCCCCTTTTTAAAACCATCAGATTTCATGAGACCTTTTCACTATCATGAGAACAGCATAGAAAAAAACCCACCCCCACGATTCAATTACTCCTCACCTCGTCCCTCCCACAACATGTGGGGATTATTACAATTAGAGGTGACATTTGAGTAGGGATATGAAGTTAAACCATTTCAAACTGGTGGGGGTAGAGGCTGCAGTGAGCCGAGATTTCACCACTGCACTCCAGCCTGGGCAACAGAGCAAGACTCTGTCTCAATTAAAAAAAGAAAGGAAGGAAAGAAAGAAAGAAGGAAGGAAAGGAAGACATTTAAAAAATTAGTTGCCAATATTAGAACCTGGTATATCTCACATTGAAAATAACAGATTTCTGTCTTCTTGTAAAAACTTCCCACACTTGGGCCTGCATTTTCACATGATGACAGACTTGGGCTGAGAAGGAGCTGTGTAGGCTTCACAGATATGCTTTCCCACTCACCACAGTTTGCACCCCTCCCTGTTGCCTTCCACACTGTCCCTCTTCACTCATTTAGATCACCTTTGTGACCCTTGTAGCCTCTGTAACTTGCTACCCCTGGAGTACAAAAAGGCAATGGAAAGTGTGGAGAAAAGGGAGAATAGTAATGCATGAGATTATAGAAAATGGGTAGGTTTTGGTGACAGATGTGGGAGATGGGAAAGGGAGGAGGGAGGGGAGTGAAGATGATGCATTGTTTCCAGCTAGAAAGACCAGATAGATGATAGTCATTTCTAGGAGGGTCCAATCATTTCCCAGAAACACAAATGACATGCTTGCCAGGGCTCTGCCTAAGGCAGCAGCATAGAGGGTGCAGGGCTGGCCTGGAGCAGGAGACACCAGGGTAGATCTGTGTGACCCTTCTCCCTCCCTCCCTCAGTTTGTGTTCAGAAGTGAGTATCGTCATAGGCTTACAATGCTAAAATGAGTATCAATCTAGTCTCGAAGAAAGAGTTCAGGGAAGCGTGAATGGGGGAAGTGGGGAGGAAGCACCATTTCTTTCTTCCTTATAATCATCACCTCTAGAAGTGGCAGGATAAAGAGAAGGCACAGGCCTGAGGCCAGCCTGGCTTGGCTAAACCCTGACAGTTTTGTCAAAGCAGGGAGGATTTCGGAGAGAAGGAAGCCAGGCTGGAGGGTGTCCATGGTGACTATGGGCTTTCCAATGTTTTCTACTCCTGAGAGATTTCACTGACAAGTGAAATGTGGCCGTTTTGGGAACAGTCCAAAACACCAAGTGTCCCCAGTACGCAAGGCAGCACTGCCACCTAGAGGAATTATGGGACATGACAGCCTTGTTCTTTCAACTAGCATGTGCAAACCAGCATGGGCAGAAGATGAAAGACAAGGGGGCCAGGGGTGCGATTACCAACCGTGAGAACAATTGGGATGCCTAAAGGCGAAAATGGACAACAAGTGAGGCTTGGTTTTGAAGCTTTCTTTTTTTTTTTAGCCTTAAATGGAGTCTTGCTCTGTCACCCAAGCTGGAGTGCAAAGGTCCAGTCTCAGCTCACTGCAACTTCTGCCTCCCTGGATCAAGCAATTCTCCTGCCTCAGCCTCCCAAGGAGCTGGACTTACAGGCGTGTGCCACCACACCTGGCTAATTTTTCTGTTTTTAGTAGAGACAGGGTTTCACCATGTTGTCCAGGCTGGTCTCAAACTCTGCCCGCCTCGGCCTCCCAAAGTGCTGGGATTACAGACATGAGTCACCACACCCGGCCATTTTTTTTTTTTTTTTTTTTTAAGAGATGAGGTCTCACTCTGTTGTCCAGGCTGGAGTGCAGTGGCATGATTATAGCTCGCTGCAGCCTCGAACTCCTAGTCTCAAGCGATTCTCCTATCTCTGCCTTCCAAATAACTGAGATGTCAAGCATGACCCAATGCACCTGATTACTTTTCCTGGTTTTAAATGGAAAAGTCTCCTAATGGTGAATGTAGTGATTGACTACTACCTGACCCACTCCCACCCCAGTTTCTCAGGAGTCACCCAAAGTTTCCTCTTTATAATAATGATCACAAATGCATGCAACTCAGAAGAAATAGCAGTTTTACATCCATTCTC